GAGTAAGTTAAAGATAAATGATGAGAAGTTAAATGCAAGACGAGGGAATGATTTAACAAAGAATGAAATGAAAAATAAAATAGGGTAAATAATACACAAAGATTTTTAATGGTTCGGTCAAAGATCTACATCCACTACCTTGATCTTCCAACCAAGGATTTTCCAAATCAAATCACTATAAATGGTGAAATTCTCAAGTTTCCACCAAGCTTTTACGATGACTTTTCACAAGCTCAGCCACAAACTTTAACAATGGTTTTTCTCTGGATCAACCAAAATCCAAAACTAACTTTTCCTATGCTGAGTTAGAACCTATGCACTCAATCAAGCTAAACCAAGCTTGATCAATCCACTTAGAGTGACTGACACACTCTAAGTAATCAAAGAGAACAGAAATAAAGAAATACCTATGATCACTAACCTGATCTGAATGGTACAAGATGAAGTCCTTAACTCTATTACAAGGATTGGAGTGAAATGCAGGAAGCATGGATAGAGTTTTTGCTACTTTTGAGCTCTTTTTTATGTTAGAAGCATCTCTTATATTTCTTAGCCATTAAGAGTGCCTTATATGCTTGAAAAAACAACTCTGCTAGATGTTTGAAAGTTAGTGACCGTTAGAAATAGTTGGGAGACAATTCTAGCCATTAATCTGTCTTTTAGCATTCAAATTTAAATTTTTAGACCGTGTGCTCTTAGTTGACTAACATACTTCTTAGTCGACTAAGTCTTTTCTGTCTTCTACTCCCAGTTTGTGGCAATGAGCACTTAGTCGACTAACCATGCTCCTTGATCGACTAAGTCTTTTCTATTTTCTTATTGAAGTTTCTGATAGTGAGCACTTAGTCGACTAATGATGCTTCTTAGTTGACTAAGTCTTTTCTGTTTCTGGACCGGCCAACTTCATTTTTGAATTTTAGTTTACTAACTCCCTTAGTTATCCGACTAATAGGCTTCTATTTTGCGGCTCAATTGTAGCTCCTTATTTTTATGAGTTTTGATTTTTGCTTTTAAGTGATTAATTTATTAATAACGTAAATATTTGTCGTACACACTCAAGTAGTAAAGTTAGACATAAATGAGTGAGAATGTTTTATTATCATCAAAAACTAATGGAGCCAACACAGTAGGCTCGAAGCCGAGGCTCAATTAACAAAATAAAAAAAAAACCAGCAGATTGCTAAAGCACCGACCATGGCCCTCCCACAACAAGGCCATGCCCTTACGAGCTTCCTGACCGTGGGCCACAACTCCCCTTAGAGGTAGGCAGTGGCCCCCTCCTATTGTAGGCTGCCAACATTGAGCTGCCCACTTACCATAACCTCTTCTATGGGCTGCCTACTGCCCATTAGCCTCCATTGGGCTGCCAACATTAGGCAACCCACTAACCAAGCCCAATTTCTCCCTTTTTCTTTATTTGGACAGCCTAATACCCACTAACCAAACCCAATCCTTTTTTTTTTTATTTGAACCACCTATTACCTAATAAAACCCCTCATTTCTTTTTAGTTATTTGTATTTTATTTATTTATTTTTACATTAACTTTTATTTATTTTCTTTTTGTAATTAGAAAGATTTTTCCTCCTAAAATGTGAGAATGAGGTAGATGAAAATAGCGAAAATGAGGGCTAGCACTTCTCCAAGATTCATCCAACCTTCAGGGGAATATTCTTTACGTTTCTTTTATTTTTTTTAACATTAAGGACAATATTTAGTTTAAGTTTGGGGGGGGTGAATTTCTTTTTCTAATGGTAAATATTTTGTGAAAATTTTAGATTTAATTTTATTTACATGTGTATTTATTTTTATAAATAATTTAGAATTAGTTGGTAAATGAATTTATTATTTATGTGAACCTTAGAAATCTAGAGTAAAGCTGTGTCAATTTTTTTCAATGTTTTTTATCCAATGATGATAACTAGTTGTCTTGAATTTTTAACCTTTGGTGATTAAGGTTTTGTTTGGATTCATGCTAAATTTTTTGTTAAGTATTATTGTTAGGATGCGATTTCCATAATTTTGAGTACTGTACCTTTTACTTTAAATTATTCTGAATATCTAGAAAAGATTTATTTTAATGTAAATTTTATATTATGTCGTGAATTCTAGAATTTGCTTGATTTTCTGTCGAGGCGAAACCATAGGCAATACTTTGTTATGGAGATGATTTAGGCCATTTTTGAACCATTTGAACCTAAAAGGCCAACCTTGTTAAATTTTTATCCCTAGTATACCCAACCTTGTTAAATTTTTATCCCTAGTATACCCCTTTTGAGCCCATTTTCCCTTTTCTTTGTTTAACTACATAATATTGAGCCTAGTCTTAAAATAAAATTTCTAATTTTACAACCCTCACTCCTAAGCATGTATATTGTTTTAGGAAATATAAATTGAGCTAAATGTTGAAAAAGGTGGAAAAGTGATGCTGATGTGAAAAAAAAAAGAAAAAAAAAGTCAAAATATGAAAAATAACCCCACTACCTACAATATAAAGAAAATAAGTTTGTGGGTGTGAAATTGTGAAATAAAAATGTGTGTTGAATGAAAGAAAAGTTCAAATGTGAAAGAAAAAATGTACTAGAAGGAAAATAAAGCTTTATAAAGTCCTAGAATAATTATATGCTTACGGTGATTTGAGCTACATTAATATCCTTTATCATACCTTAACCCTAGCCATACATTACAAGCTTTATAAAGTCCTAATAATCCTTAACTTTATATTAGTCTATATTAGTGGAGAGAGAGATGAAAAGTAAACCTATGAAAATCTAGTCCTAATTTGAAATTTGTGTTGGCATAAACTTATCTAGTACTAATTTAATTTTAATTGTTTAGATAAAATTAAGGTGTATTAATTTTAGTAGTTGACAATAAGGATTAATTTAATTCTCTGTGGGATTGACACTCTACTCATCTCTATATTATCTTTGTAATACATGCACTTGCATGAGTAGAAAATTGAACAACAAATAAAACTACTTAATTCCAAATCTAAAACTCAAGGACTTAGCTATTTTAGTTCCCAAAATGCAGCAAAATAATTCTATGTAATAGAGTTATCACCAGTCAACCTTATAAAGGGTTCAGTCAACCTTGAGGCAAAGAGCACGAAAGAATGATGATTTTTGGAAGCCCTAGTCAACACTAGGAGACTCCCAATTGACCCTCCAAGTTTTGATCTCAAAATCACAAGCTTTCTGGAAGTGAATCAACTAGATGACACTTGTATTCTACTATAGAAGCCTTAATTTGAAATTTTGAAGAACATAGTTGACTGTAGAAGCTCTATAGCCGACCCCAAAGGCTTAGCAACAGTCAAATTTGAATCAAACTTGTATCTAATGACTCTATCATCACTTGTGACTATAAAAGGAAGCCTTGCACTCATTTTGAAGTAAGAGAAGACACACAAAGGCACTCAAACCCTAGAAAAGCTTCAAGATCTTCTTTTTTCTCTTACACTCATCTTTTAAGTATTCTTTCAAACATTCAAGCACTCAAAGCAAGACTTTTTTGTTCCTTGAGCTAATATTCTTATCCCCATTTTATTGTAAGCTTAAACACTAGCTCATCAAACTTAGAGAGGCATTTATTGCTACCCATTTGTAAACATTTTTGTAAAAATTCTAACTTAACATTGAAAAGTTAGTGAGGGTTTGTGGTTGAGCTTGTTAAAAATCATTGTGAGAGTTTGTGGTTGAGCTCGTTAAAAACTATTATGAGTGCTATTGCTTGATCTCGTGAAAAGGTATTTGTAAGGGTCCAATTCACCTCCCTCTTGGTCTTTATTATATTGAACTTACTACACTAACACATGGAAATTATTTATACTTGCTCCCCTGTTTTGGAGTTTTTGCTCTCTTGTTTAAATGTATTGATACTTATCATGGAAGGTATTGATACTTAAACCCTGCTTGGGAATTTTTGCTTTCAGGTTGAAATGAATCGATACCTTTCAAAGCAGGTATTGATATTTTCATTTCAGCACTCTGAATTTTTTATTTACTACCAATAAGGTATCATTACTTCGTTCAAGAGTATCGATACTTGTTGCTTGATTTGCATAAAGTAACGATACCTAATTCAAATACATCTATACTAATAACTTAAAAACCAGATTTTGAGTTGCTTTTGAACCATTTTCTTGAGGAAACACTTGACCATTTCAATCAAACATTTCAAGGGGTTTTTTAACTTCATCAAAGATCAATTGTAAAGTTAACCAGTATAATGATTGTTATCTTTCAATTAGGTTTTATTAATGCTAAATAATCAAAATATGATTCTGCTTAAGAAAAAAAATTTTAAAATTTCGTTGTATTATAACTTGATCCTCAATACTTATTTTTAGCTGGGACACCTTGTTTAAAGACAAAGGGAGTTATCAGCATCTGAAGACAAAAATAAGTAGAAGCAGCATCATCAGTGATAAAGGAGGTGGCCTTCAAATAAATTTAAGTGTAAATTTTCAGAAACAAAAATGTCACACATGGGTATTTGTTCGATCATGCAAAATGGACAATTTGGATTGGTTAATAGTAAATTTGACTTCAGTTAAGTCTTTTATTATCTCCAAATGCACAATCTTTCCTTGAATTCAATCAGAAAGCAAAATGGGGAAGAAAAATCACATGACGCTTGAAAGAGTCGTTGACAATCCGCTCTAAAGAGGGCTCTTACGGGTTAAAGAATTTGTACAAAAATTTGCAAGTCTTTTGTGGTTGAGTTTTGGGTGCCAAGAAAAAAGCAAGAGCAAATATGCGTGCAAATCATATACGAGAAATTATCAGATATTACAAAAACTTGTATTGCTAAACATATGAAAAATCCTATGAATTTTCAGCTCTAAATTTCAGACCTTATCTGCAAGCTGCACTAGTAAAGATTAAGCCGAAGGAGTTTTGAGAAAAAATCATATGGCTACACTTTAGTCCGGTTTTTTTTTTTTTTTATCAAACTTTTTAAGCCCCAAAATACATTTTAACCAACAAAACCGTGTATAGTGACAGGTGAAATGCTTTATTATTTAGCTCACAAAATTTAATCATTCCTACTAGATAGAGAATTGATTATGTCAGTACAATATGAAATGCAATCAACAAGAACCTTTTTATAAATAAGCCTCCAATGGACTGCTAATTTCCACCTATCTATCAACATTTTAGCCCTCCGAGATGCAAATGACTCATTGTTTCTTTTCAGGTTAGTCGCTTGCAAAAGATTGCAAAACTCACCTCCAAAAGCAGGCATCGCCTTTCCCCACTCCCACAGGTTATCAAACTCCTGGATTTTGTCAATGAAAGAAAGCAACAAGTTGTCATCTTCAATTGATGTTGGCATAGACTTCAATGTAGCATGGCATTTCTTAGCTATCCATGTCATGACAGATATTTCATTGTCCTGTGACAGCTGAGATCCTGAATAAGCTAGATGTCTGATAGATTTCCGTTGATATGGTGGAGTTGCCCATACACGCAAAGCAGCCATCAAAGCAAATGATGGCCTCCCATTTTGATGGATGTATAGCGAATCCTTCGGCCAAGAACTAGAGGAACGTATGTCAGGCTCCAATGGAATAAAAACCTTCTCATTTGGATTATCCTCTAAAAGAAACCCATAGTATTCAAGAAGCTCCAAATTTGTATATGTTCCATAACTCAAGAGAACCTACATGAAATAATTGACACTTCAATTACTTACCTAACCAATAAAAATAGTTCACACTATTAAAGGCATTATCCACATGCTTAAGAAGAAAAAATGAAATTCTGGCACTTGTTAATTTCATGTTTAAAAAAACCTTCTCTCACACATAAAAGGCAAGTTAACTTGCTTCTGACACCAAGCAACCTTATATTATATGTTATGGCTTACTTGAATACTTACATCATAACAAACAAAACATTTTACTTGAAAGTTGCCTGTACAAGTACATTGTTGAAAGACTACAATGCAATATTGCATGCACATTCTCAGCTAAGTGCTCAATGCTTCAACTGGAGTGAAGTGCTCAGCTAAGCACCTAACAGGAATGCCCTGTTGATGTAGCCCTTGCCATATGCATGGCAAAACCCAACAAACCCAAACAGTTCTGCCTTACCATGCGGATGGCAAAAGCCAATCAACCCAACAAGCTATGCCATTAATAAGTATGGTTTTGGTGACAAAATTGGGACAAAGCTGGGATGAGAGAGAGAGAGAGAGAGAAAGATGCAAAGCAAGTTTTCTGCTCCCAAAAGCAGGAACAGGATGGCAGTAAATTTTGGTTGCTCACTGGCCCTTCATTAAGGAAAAATATTGTTTCTAATACTCCTTTTTAAATCATTATTTGGTAAAACTTTTTAAATCCTAATATACTTACTACAAAATCTTAATCAGTATGGCTTTACCACATCAGCAAAGTTGACAGCAAAGGCAAATATTAAGAAACAAAATCATATTCACTTAAAGTGACTAAATATTTAAACAAAAAACCTATTCAAATATAGTCGGTCTACATAAAAGTAAAATCAAGAATTTCATTATTCATAAAATTAAATTTCTAAGTACTAATTCTTCAATATTTTCTTTCATATCGAAAAAAATAATTTGCTTTCAGCAAAAAAAAAAAAATAGTAACAGAACAACCAAACAAAACCATAAGAAAAGTAGGAGAATTTTCTTTACTTCATAATAGAAGGCTTAAAAAGAGTAAAACAAACTGAGGGAGGCAACTGAAAACCACACTCAAGCCCCCCGTTGCCATACATAGCCTATGAGGGCGGAGGGCTGTAATGCCAAGATGTTGCATGCAAAGTGCTTAACCAGACATAACTTGCTTTGACGACAACTTTTGTGCCTTTCAAGAAACAAATATGATGAAATTTAGTTTTTCCTAAAAAAATAGAGAGGACTCACATGGTTAAAAGACCTACCTTAATTGCAAACATGACTGAAGGGGAAAGTAAACAAAATGAAACACATATATATTTAGTTACAATAAATAAAAAAAACGTTTTTCAAAATATCATTATGCGAGAGTTGCACACTATGATTGTTGTGTTTTACATACCCAACTCAACATTTTTCCAAATGAATGCTATTGTGTCAAATTTTCATCATCATAGATACTGTTCAAGCATAATCTCATTTTTGGAGTATTTTGATGATTTAACATGAAATTAATTTCATTCCGCTCTAGTTTTGCTACCATCTTATATGAAACAGTATCATCAGCACATACAATAATCAAAAATACAATCTTTTTAAATATCATTATGGGATTTTGCAGACTATGATTGTTGTGTTTTACATGCCCAACTCAACATTTTTCCAAATAAATGCTATTGCGTCAAATTTTCATAATCATAGATATCGTTGAAGTATAATCTCATTTTTGGAGTATTTTGATGTTTGAACCTGAAATTAATTTCATTCCACTCTAGCTTTGCCACCATCTTATACGAAACAGTATCATCAGCACATACAATCAGGTAACTACCACTATCAGTTTAGAAAAATCATCAAAAAGAAAAATAATTTTAAGGAAAGCCTGAAGACTCCAAACGTCAAAACCATGTAACAGTCATCCATACGGACTAATTTATGCCTTGAAAACGTCAAAGTTTATAAAATTATAAAATGATCTATTTAAACCTGAAATAGTCCCCCCGACTCCCTCTCACACACCCCAGAATCAACCTGAAATGTCCTACATGAAAGTAAATCTGTCTAGTAGATAAACTAGAATCAAAATGTTGTACATTCAATTCAGCAGTCATTCAATCATCAAACAACTGACAAAATTGAGACAAGAAACAGGTCATTATGACTTATTTAATTTCTGGTTCTAATCTGATATTGAAAAACAAAGGCTAAAGCATTCATTAATGCTTATGTTAAACCAAAAATCAATTGCCAACAGGTGGAGAAGCCCAATATGAATATAAAGCTGTAACAAACCCCATACGTAACTGAACTTGGAATAACTGAACTTGATTCTCCCTCACATGAACTAGGGAAAATTAAATAACACTTTATATGATGATACTTGGACTAAAGATTACAGAAGGTCAAACTAAGAATAAACTATTGCTTATTTTAAGCATTTGTTGAATTTTGTTTGTGAAAGGGACAAAAGTGGTGGCAAGATGTGGTGTCTAGGAAGAATTTGGTTAACATACCTGATCGGTCCCTCTACTGTAAGGAAACATGCAATTTAGTCCATATTATTCTATTTCAAAAAATTAAGACCTCATACTTTTATAAAATATGCAGCTGAGTAAACTTGTTAACACCATTAGGAAGTTTCTGTTTAATTCAATAAAAATGAATTATTTTTAATTTTATTCAGTAAAAACATAAAATAAAATTTAAAAAAACAAAACCCACACACACAAACAAAGAAAGAGAAAATGAGTTGGAAATGTGTTTCACTGAGAAAAAGGAGATATAGTTGGGCAAGAGTCTCTAACTTTAGCTAATCAAGTTTGAAACTCCGGAAAACCATCCAAACTATGCTATCACACAAGCCATCAAAGGAATTCTTTCAACAGATAAAAAAAAAATGTCCTGCACAATTAAGCAATGCATAGGCATACTAACTCACATAAAAAAAAAAAAAGGAATCCATCATGTGAAATAATCATACCAAGAGATATAATTCTCAAATTTTCTTGTTTTTAATAGGAGAGACCAAGTCATCTTCAGCCCACATTTTTTATTACATAAAGTGTTCGACCCTCTAATAATTCTTCATGATTATAAGCACTAAACTTTTTACTCATTCAGCCAACTCGTAGTTTCACGTTTACTGACAAAATTAGACATTTCAGATTCATCTCTAGGGAGATGGGTATGGGTCTTGAGTTGTGATTTTGACTGTTTCAAGATGGGTAAGAGGGAAAACAGCAAGGAAAGGAGAACACCAAACAGCCGACTCTGACCTAATAAGTTGCCACCCTCCCTCACCCCGACCTCTCTCTCTCTCTCTCTTGCTCTTTGTTTCTTTTTTTTTTTTTTTGGTTTCTTTATTTTGTTTTTTGTTTTTTAATTTTCATGAATGAAATAAAAAAGTAATCACTAATACTTTTTTACTGTTAATTGTCTTTTTGTTATTTTAGCAAGCAGCTTAGGATTTGTAGATGAGCAGACCTCCTACAAGGTTTGATCAGTTTAAAACTGACAGTTCTATGGCTAATCCTAGAGGAGGTTCAGATGGAAATATTGGAACTTATAAGGCAAGGGCATTCTTGTTATGCCGGTGCCAACCAGCCTTCAGTTGTCTGTGAATCTGAAAAGCTATCAAGATGCTATTAAAATGCCCTTGCAGCTTGCTAAAGACAAAGGGATGGAAAGATCATCATAGCAATTGATTCCGAAATGCAATACAATTTTGCAGCAGACAAATCAAGTCAAAGTATGGATAGTCAAGGAGCTGATTGCTGAGCGGTAAAAGTTGATAGGTTCTTTTGATTGCTGTGCTATGACACATGTAATCGTTGCTCTAAGTAATGTACTACAGAGAAGAATATAATTGAACATCTTAAAGAATTTCCAAATGAGTTGTATGTGTTGAAGATACAGATGCTCAGTGCTGTACTTATCTTTGATAATTTATTGCAAATAAAATTTTCATTTGTCTAGGAAAAAAAGAAACAAAAGAAAATGTTAAGTGCTTCAAGGTAAACACATTTTCAAGGAAAAAAGTTACATGAACAATGCAACTTGATAAACTTAATAGTTAACAAACTGATCATCATTCTAAATTTCTCATATCAGTGTTAGTTCAATCATGCCTGTCATGTTGTTAGGCATCGGAACAATGGATTACTGAAAACAATTATAAAAAGATGCCTCATAATATTTCCCCCAATACACCGACTAAGAACAAGAATAATGAAAGTAAACATGAACAAGAATGGAATTGATTGAACAAATGATAGTTTACTTGTTCATGTGAGTTAAACGTAAGAATATCATGATACCTGCTCCCCCTTTTTATAGTTTGTTTTAGCATAGAAGCAATACGCAGCTGCATCTTCCTCAAATGCACCATCAGTTAATCTCTGTGAATGTTGTGTATCCAAGTCATCTAGGGCATACCCATTTTGCAAATTATCTACATTTTCAAAGCCATTCAGATCTTCACCAGGTGCAGCATAATTAAATAAGTCTCCCACAGGACATAAGCAGCCAGCTTCATCCCAAGGTATATGTAATGTCCTAGAGGAGATCTTCAACATAAACAGATGTAAAAAGTTTTTATCATTTAAGTATAGTGATATGGGAAAGGAAAAAAAGCAAAACCTGACTGAATATAAGACTATAATTCACTCCATCAACAAACAAAGCAGTTATGCACCAGCACGAGACAACACAATTGTATGTGTTATGTGTAGCAACGTTATGTAAAGACATGAGAGAATAATATAAAAACCTATGTATGCTTGTATACTCAGTCATTTGTTTGTATGCATGTGAATGTGTGCAAATGTGCACATAGGTTTAAGCTAAAGTTATCCAACATAAAGATGAAAACAGAGAAGGCTAAATATTCTCACAGTTCCAGTAGCCCAAATCCAAGCCCTAAAAGTGAGAAATTGAGGCTTAAGCTTAAGTTCCTTCATCAAAGGAGTGGCTTCTTTCCACTCATATTCAGCTTTTGACAAAGCTTTCTGCGCAGCCCAGATGGCATAATCCACCTAAGATACTCTGTAAGGTTAGAAAAACATACAACTGAACTTACGTAAACAAAAACATAACCGAAACACTTATAATCAGACACAGAACTTGCAGGGCTTGCTTTTCAAATTCACCGAAAGCCGCGAGTATACCATAACTACGGGGCAAGTGCAGCAAGTAAGGGTGCCAGGGTGAAGCCTTTCCTTTACTCATCTCATATAAAAAACAGACGGTCAATACCTGCATCGCAGTGAACACTAAATTTATTAGCAGTTCCTTCTTTTACTGTTTGGTTGAATTGCAAAGAATAAACATTCAAAAAAAAAGGGATAGGTTCAAACCTGGACAGGAGACAGAGATGGATGGGCTTTGAGCTCAGTAGACAATCTCTCGTCTTTCAAAAGAGAGTGAGTTGTGATTAAGGCAGATTTTGGAACTTTAAGAAGCGATTCTCCCCTTGTAATATCACGCACAGCAGCCAGACCTCTTCCGCCAGCGTCGGGGAAGTAAGCGACGCCGAGAGAATGGCCCAGACAGGAATATGAGCTAGGATTTGGAGAATCTGATACGCCAAGCCCTGCTGCCCATTTTAGAAAGCTGTCGAGGCTTCCTCTCTCTTCTTCTTCCTCCCCTTCCTGGCTCAGTGTATTTGTCGCCTTTCCTTTTGCTTCTGACCCCGAGGGATTCATCTCCCAATCCCAGCGCCTCTGTCCATCAAACCTCTTTTAGGAATAAAATAGCTTTCGTTTCACTTGCATAGTATCTGATTTTTTTTTCATTTAGAAGAAAATAAAAAATAGTACGCTTAAGTCACAATAAACGGTTAAATGATCTTAACAGTCCCCGCATTCTTTTATTTTGTTTAATTTAAGCTTTTTATTTAAAATTAAAATAATTTAATCAATTAATTTTAAAAATTTCTCTAATTTAATCTATTTCTCTAACGACATTCATTTTTATCGTTAAAAGTGATAACGGCAACACTAACAAGGCGCTGATATGGCAATGTATGTATGGCTAATCGATGGCATGGTAATGTCATGTCATTCGGTCAAACTAGGCATGGTAGTGTCACGTGGCACTACATGTGGCAAATAGAAAGAAAAAAATTTTTCCACCCAAAAAAGCAAAACAACTAAAGTGGGGAAAAATTGACAGTATAAGGACTAATGTGAATAAAACTTCAATGTATGAGGACGAAATTGAATGAAAAAATATATTATGCTAATAAAAGAAATATCACGTGGCATTTTGGGTCAAATGGTGTGGGAGGTGATGTTTGTCTTTTATGGTTCATGTCTCCTTACCCTCATAATTATTCTTAAACAGTGGCTAAACCTTAAACCTACTGTTATCCTCGCCAGAGTGCTAACCTTTGAAATTTTGACCATCTAAAATAAAGAGAGAACAATAAATCGAGAGTGAAGCCCAACCTAAACACTAAACCGAGATTGAAACCTAGCCTAAACATTAAACCTAAACTTTAAACCCAGCCTAAACACTAAATTAAGAGTGAAAATTCGAGAAACTTTGAAACCAACTAGCCCACTTAAAAGGTTGAAACCCAACCTAAAACAAACAAACCTTGAAAGATTCCAAGCTTAACCGACTAACCTTGAAAGCTTTCAAGCCTAAAGCCTGAAAGCTTGTAAGCTTGAATTTAAGGACACTTGAAAGCTGATGGGTGAGTCTCGGGAGAGAGAAGAAAATCGAGAGAAAAAAGGGAAAAGGAAAAGGCTGCTATTTGGAAGAGTGAGGTATAAATTCATTTTGTTGATAATAAATAGTATTAGGCTCTATTTTTAATGTTGACTAAAATTGAGTTTGTTGTTTCATTTTTTATTGTTGTTGATGTGTTTATTTATAGCATCAGGTTGTGTTTTTAATGTATGCTGATTTGGCTTGTTTTTTTAATTTGTTATTGTTATTGATGTAGTTGATAAGACAAACAAAATATAGAAAAAAGTAATGCACCAAGATTCTCCTTGATTCAGTTTCCAACTTTGGCAAATTAGATGACTTTACATGGGTACTTTAAGGTGGTTAAGGCACATAAAGAGGAGTATGATGTTGTTGATAATAAATTATTCATTTTGAACACATATCTGATAGCAATATTTCAAAGTGTGTAAAAAACATTATAATATGGCCCTCTAAACATACTAGTAAATGAAATTGACATATGAGGATGTGATTAGAATAAAATTGATTGAATTCACTAAATCAAATAATATAGAATTCAATTTAATTAAGTTCTGTTCAATTGAGAAAAGTACAAAAATAATATAATATGAAGCCTCAATCATTTAGTTAATATTTAAATATTTCTCAATAATGCATTTAAATTGTCTTGGACCTTTATTGATATATGACAGTACTTTCTATGCCAAATATTAAAAAAGAGTTTTTAGTTTTAGAGCCGTGTTCTCTCGATTCATAGCTTGCATGCCATGTTGGTTTCTCATCTTTGTATATTCTTGTTAAGTGTTTCTGATATGATGAATTAAGAGGACTTTTAGTTAGTGTGATGTTTATAACACAAGTTTTTTTTTTCTAAACTTCATGGCACTTAAATATGTAGTATTTGTTTAGATCTGTTTCCTTGTAGCTTTTAATTGGCCATGCCTAAGTCTATATATTGTTGACCTATAGTATATTCCTATGTCTATTATTTTGATTAACTTTTTTTCGCATTATTACTCAACATTCTATTCTCCACACAATTAATGGCACATACAATTTTAATGTTCAATTCATGGTCACATACTAGATTTGTATTTGTTTTAATGTATGTTGATTGAGTCTCCAAATTTCATCGTGCAAATAACAATTACTTTCAAATATGCTTTCATCATGGGGGGATCTTAGTTCATGAACCTAAGTTTGCATATAGGAGTGGGAAGAGAATGATGGTTGATGTACCGGATATTGATACCATTTGTTATTGGACTTTATTACAAATGGTAAATGCTTTAAAATATGATATAGGATTAATAAAAGGGTTATATTATAAAGATGGGCATCGTTTAAGAGCAATTTTAGATGATAAAAGTGTGTCTGGTTTGTGTGGATTACTTAAAGAAAAGGGTTTTCTTTCTATTTATGTTAAGCATGGGGAAAATACTCAATAGGGTACTCTAATGTCTAAAGCACTTAATGAGGATATAGAGTTTCTATCATCAAATAATGAACTTGGAGATGAAGAAGGTTTAAATGAAGAGTATTTTGAAACAACATGGTTAAGTGATGAAGAGGAAGATGAGTTGGTAATGGCTAGGGAGAAAATAAGAGAATGTAAGGCAAGCAGAGATAGGTTGCTGGCTTTTGCATCAGAGGAATTAGATGAGGAAGGGCCATCTGAATCAGCAATTACAGGCCCATCTAAAGCTACTAGAGGCAAATTTAAAGTTACTGGTGGCCTATCTGAAACTACTAGAGGCCCATTTTAAGCTGTTAAGGGCCTATATGAAGTTGTTCAAGGTCAATTTGAAGCTACTAGTGGCTTTTTTGAAGTTGTTGAAGGCCTATCTGAAGTTGCTAGAAATAATGGAGGCCTAATTGTTGGACCATTAAAGGAAAAACATTATAGTGATTATATTGACTCAAGTGACCCAAAGAGTTATATTTTTACAAGCTTTAGGTCTGAAGTTGATGTGGCACAAAGGTCAGGTTGAGTGGGAGGTTCTGTATTTCGGATCAGTCAATATCGGACTTCTTTATGGGTCAATCTTTCAAGGATCCGAGATACTTCAAAGTTGTTTTGTGTGAGTATGGTATGGCTAAGCAGTTTTCTTTCATATTCAAGAAAAATGACAAGGTCAGAGTTAGAGCTAAATGTGTGCTGGAATTGATTGTGATGGGAGATACTAGCTTCAAAGCACAAGAATGATAACTCCTTGAAAGTGAAAACCTATCTCAGAACACATAATTGTCTGCCATAATTAAAAACAAAAGAGTGATAGCAAGGGTTTTGGCTAAGAAGTTGAAAGATGGTATTATCAAGATGCCATTCCTAAAGGCAAAACAAATTAGAGTGTTGGTGAGAAAACAGTTAAGTGTGGCAATTGGTCTGACAAAGGGTAAAAGAGTCAAGTTGAAAGTGATAAAGGAAATACGAGATAATTATGTAAAGGAGTTTAGAAGATTAAGATAGTATGCTAATGAGCTTTTAGAGACAAATAAAGGGTCAATAATTAAATAGAGGTGGATAGGTCTACATCAAATGAGGCAGTAGTTTTCCATCAAATGTATATCTACTTCGGGGCATTGGGGAATAATTTTTTAGAAGGTTGCAAACGTATATTTGGATTGGATAGTTGTTTCTTGAAGGGTTTAGAGAAAGGACAACTTTTGGTTGCTATGGGCTGAGATGGGAACAACCAAATGTTCCTTATTGCATGGGCAATGGCCAGTGGTGTCAAGAACAAAGACCATTAGAATGGTTTTTGGAGTTATTATGTGTTGATTTGGGTATTGAAGATGGAATGGGATGAACCATCATGAGCGACATGCAAAAGGTATTTTTTTTATAAAACAATAAATAAGACTAGTAAAATATTTTAAATATAATTTGATGTTATGTACTGTATGTATGTTTTGCATCTTTTATATGAATCTTTTAATAATCACATGCTAGAAATTGTGATATAAATTATGTGTTTAGCTTTTACATTGAAATAAATAAACACATGTTGTGAATTATCTAAGCATTATTTTCCACCATAAATATCATAAATTTCAACTTTTAAACTCATGCATAGGTTGCCATCTATGCAAGATCTTTCAAAATAGTATGTTGATTGTCCACAGATTTAAAAGAGAAAAAATAAGATTGCAAAGCAATCCAACAGTTCATGAACAACTCAAACTCTTTTTATTTTTTGTTTAAAGGAGTCATTTTCATGAATAAATAAAACTCAAAAGTGACTCTTTTAAACAGAAAATAAAAAGAGTTTGAGTTATTCATGAACTACTCTATGGCCTACAATCTTATTATTCTTCCTTTAAATCTTTTGTTTACGTAGAACTTTGTCCAATTTGTCTACTATAATATGATATATGATATATGTTAAAAATTTCTTAGATATTTAAGATTGACAAAAAAACCCTTTTTTCTGCTAGACTTGCATAGTTATTAAGACTATTAATAAGGCATTTGACACTACCAAAAGTAAGTATAAATCTTTTAATAGTCTTAACTTTTAAAGTCTCCAATAATAACTGACTTAGTGTTAGAGCAAAACAAAACTAAATTACTTTAATTAGTTATAAAGATTAGGGTTTAGAATGTGGCTTAAAGATTACACAGCATGGGGTCATGCTATTTGATCCCACCTTCACCTAACAAAAAACCACACCAACAAAAATATGTTCATATTCTAACAGTACCCTACCTTTTCCTTTCACCTTTGAACTTATTCTAAGTCAGCTTTTGTTATCATTTTAACTACTACTGTAACTTCATGCTGATATTATCATATCTAATTCGTGAAGCTTTTATAGTATGTTGTTTGCACTTTTCTTTTATAGTATGGTATTTAATCAAGATTGAAAAAGTTGTAAGGCATGCAATAAATTAATCTTTACTGTATATCTTCTCATTATTTACCATATTTATTTTGTTGTTGTAGGGGCTTTTAAGTCAGTGAACTTCTTCCCTTCGTTGACTAACGAAGGTGTGCACGACACATCGACGTAAGGTGGGGGAAAAAGTTCAGAGATGTGGAATTAAAGTTTCAAATTTGGCATTGTGCTAGATCCCCAAACTAGCCAGCGGTCAAGAAGCAAATAGAAC